CGAGTGCAACAGCCTTAATGATGTCTGTCGCACGTCGAATACCGCCATCGATGTACACTTCAATGCGATCTTGCCAGCCGCGTGCGCGAAGAACTGGCATGACCTCTGCGAGAACCTCAACACCGGAGCGAGCGAAATCGAGCTGACGGCCACCGTGGTTGGACAGGACAACACCGTCACAGCCAACCTCGACAGCGCGAATAACATCCTCAACACACTGCACACCCTTCAGAATGATGGGCATCTTGGTAATGCTTCTGAACCACGGGATATCTTTCCAGCTGAGGCTCGGGTCAATGAAGGACGAGATGGCTCGTGCGGCGCCTTGACTCCGGTCAACATTGTCGCCGCCGGTGCTCTGGACGTTGCTGCCGACATCGTCGAACTTGCTTCGCATGTCTTTCTCGCGACGACCGAGTTGCGGTGCATCGACTGTAATGAAGAGACCCTTGCAGCCGCGTTTCTCGGCGTGCTGGACAATGCGCTTTGTGACTTCCCGATCCTTGTTGACGTACAGTTGCAGCCATTGCACTTGACCGTCTTTCGCTTCATCCATGATCTCGTCGAATGAGCATGACGCTAGTGTTGGTATCATCTGGACAACATTGTGCTTGTGTGCGCCGCGCGTAAGAACGACCTCTCCCTCTGGATTACCGAGCTTGCCCAGGGCTGTCGCGGTGACATAGAAGGGGATATCGACTTTGGTGCCGAGCATTGTAGTGGACATGTCGACCTTCTCGACGTCGATGAGTACGCGCGGTCGAAACCAAATCTTGTGGAATGCGCTGTGGTTTTCTCGTAGTGTCTATTAAAAGTCAGTTCAAGCGATCGCAGTGGTTGTCAGAATAGACCTACAATCTCATCGTCTGCACCACTGGAGTAGTATGCCCATGCCGTCTTCTTCATGACCTTGCGCGCGACGGCCTCAAAGTCCATCAGGTTGTAGCATTGCTCCAAGATGGGCATGCGCGCAATGCGCTCCTGCCTCGCTTCCTCATCAGGGTCGATCTCCTTCGCTTCTTCCTTGACGGTGTTCATGTCCACCTCGCCCAGGTGCTTGGACTTGTCGAGATACTTGTCGAGCGTGTCGGGCGGGTGGATCGGCTCGAATGCCTCAGTGCCGTCCTTGCCAGCATACTTCAAGACAATCTTCTGGCCTCCGGGATGCTCAGGCAGGAACTCGGTGACATCGTAGGCGCGACCGTGGATGATGACCCAGCATGATTCGGCGTTGTTGTGCTGGGCGACCTGCTCGCCGGTGAGCTTCACCTTCTGGGTGTTGTTGCTGTCGTGGTTCATCGTGGCGGCGGTGTGTCGAGCGCGAAATGTTGAAGGGCAGGTAATCAAGACGCGAAGATAGGCCAGAAAATATATGGAGCCGATCTAGGTTATTTCCAGACACTAGAGGGCTTGGACGAGCGGAAGGGCCAGGTTGGTGACGGCAGCATGTTTGGGGTAATAGCTCGGTACATTCATCCCCGCGGCTTCGGATGCTGGTCGCGGAGACGCATCTGAGTTAGCACCCTAGCCCATGAGCTCGAGGCGAGAGCGATTCCGGGCTTGTCGCATTGGGCATCCCGTCTCGGTCCTTCGCAGGCGGTTTTCTTGAGGATATATGTGTCGGCCAGGGACTGTCGTTCGTCGAGGGAGCTTAGTTTGGGTAGGTATTAACGTTCTCGTCGGTCGCGTGGAAGACTCCGTGCTGCTCCGAAACGCGGGGAAGAGACAGCTGGCTGGGCATGACGTGCATTGTTGACTGCCCGACACACAGCATCAACATGGCGCGTCATCCCCTGGATGATTATCAGTCCCCAGGGCTGCGATCACGATGGGCATTCACATTCCCATCTGGGACGCACCCTTCTCAGATCTGATTCACATTGGCTTAAGGCGCCTGTCACATGGCTCCCCTAGCCAAGAGAATCGGTGCAAGCGCCAAACGCAGCTGGGCTGTCATTCGGGCACTCACCTCCTGCCTAATATTCTCAGATACCCTCTACGTCAATCCTCTGCCTCTTCTCACATCTGCCGGCGACTCTTTCTCACTGCTCGCCATGCAACTTGTTCTCCCGCCGTCTCCCACGCATTTCCTTTCTTTCTTGCTCCGAGGGACCGCGACCGCGCATATCTGAGCCGACCCCACAACACCGCCTGCCGCCCCATCCCTGCACCGCCAACACCGACGTATACAAATAGATTTGGCGTAATACCGCGATATGTCCAACAGTCTGGAAGCAAAGATCGTGGTCCTCGGTAGCCAAGGAGTTGGAAAAACTTCTCTCGTCCACCGATATGTCAAGAACGCTTTTACGCCTCCCACGACACAGTCTACCGTGGGTGCTTCCTTCTTGACAAAGAGGGTTGTGGATATCGACACCTCCACCGTGGTTCGGTTACAGATATGGGATACCGCAGGCCAGGAGCGCTTCCGGTCCATATCCAAGCTGTATTATAGGGGTACGTTAGTATTGTTCCTTTCGCCGAATCAACTCTCATTTTCTGTCGCAATACACATCGGGTCTCTTTTCGCTATCGAGATACCCCACCTTCGGCAGCCGAGTGCGGGTCGTCCACTGTAAACAAACGTCCAGCGCAGAACTAACATTTTCTTCCAGGCGCAAATGCTGCGGTACTATGTTACGACATCACCGATCCGTACTCGTTCGAGGAGATGGGCCGCTGGTTCAAGGAACTCAAGACAAACCTTGGAGAGGACGTGATCCTCCACGTTGTAGGAACAAAGTCAGACGTCGTAGCAGAAGACCCTACCAAGCGAAAAGTGCCCTTCGAGCGCTGCATCGAATACGTCGCCGAGAACCTCCATCCCACACAGAACGGACAACCACACAGTGCTGCAGCAAGCGGCTGGGGCTCTGTACCAGCAGCCTTCCACAGCGGTATGGCGTCGCCACAGAGCAACCGATCGAGCGGGTTCTGGGGACAAGACCTGGGCTGGGATTGCTGTCACGAGATCAGCGCCAAAGACGGCGAGGGTGTAGACGAGGTCTTTCGCGTCATCACCCGCAAGCTGGTCGAACAGCAGCAGAAGAAGCTCGAGGAAGAACAACGGCAGTACGCCATGGCTGGTGTCACTCCTGCCATGGATAACAACGGCAATGTCGCTGGATACTTCGACTACCCTGGAACGGGTAATGGAAGCTTCCGCTTGGGCACAGGCGACAAAAGGCGGAGCTGGCTGGGCTTCCCCACTACACCCAATGTCGCTGGACATCAGCAAGATTGGGAAGAAGACATCAACCGGGCGCAGAAGAGCAAGAGTGGCAGGTGCTGTTAATATCTGCCCCAACTTGGCTCTTCGAACATGTGTACGCATGTTCGTACCCTCTATCATCACATTTCTTCCTCAGAGGGGCGTTATCACGACAAGATTCGTTTGAGGACGCCCGCTCGCGTTTTCATAGCTCTCTTTTTTACGCGTCTCATCTCACGACCATGCTTGCTGTCGTTCCTCGATTACATCTCGGAGGCTTAATTTGTTGTTTCCTGTCTGTCTTTTGTAGCGAAGCGTTCGAGCGAGTCGTTTTGTATTGCATTTACAGCGATCATGAGCGTGTTTGTTCTTCGTCCTTTATCGCGTTGTCTGATGATCTTCTATTGGGAGATATGCGAGCTAGATGACGTCTTCAGCGTTGGATGCATAGCACGACAGTGGCTCTGCTTAATGTCTACATCATGGTCTGTACCAGTCTACTATTATTCATCGTCTTATCGGTGAGCAGATAATGCTGCGTTGTCTTCCAGATAGTGTACCGCCCCTAAATCGATCGTGGTCGCTCAACCCCTCACACTCTTCCATGGCTTTTCTTGTACACGTGTGCGTGTGCGTATCTAGACAGCCACCACGGGGGCTGAGTGCAGACGAAGCACTGCTTTATCCGAACTTTGCATGCGGCTGAGCGCAGTCATGGGTCTCACCGGTTCAGCTGGCTGATTCAGCTCTCTACACACTAACTTTAGCTTGGGGTAAGCTCAGCCCCATCGCAGTCTCAATTACAAGTCTTTGTTTTGTTGGGAGACCATTCAATACATTTGGAAGCGGCGTTCCGCGAAAGTTATTTAAGTTGGCTGTGCCAGAGCGGTATTCTGCGATATCCGCACTGCTACACGATTTGACGCTCTTGGCATACCTTGCTGTTCCTTCTCAATACCCTTAGGGAGTATTCGCCACCCTCTAAAAACGATGACTACTGTATTATGTACTCATGTGAATCTCAATGCACCCGAGGTATATCACTAAACATTCTGTTATCGTTACATGGCTAACGCAGCACAGAGAACTGCTGCATTCAGGCGGGGAGACAGTGTCAAAATCAGGATCGTGACAATGGTCAACGGCGAAAGGAAAGTCTTCAAGGGCGAATACAGCGTGAAGGACTTGCAGTATCGCCGCCGGTCTGGGGTCGAGTATCAACTTGAAAGCTCTGACGGGACGGATTATGAAAACGGCGCATGGGTTAGCGAAAGGGAACTCCGCCCTGTCTGAATTGTGCATCTGCAGGTTGTCAGCCAATTCAGCCACTGCATTAGTCTGAGCGAGAGCCCCAGCTAATTCCAGCATCCAAGCAAAGCAATTTCCTTCACCATTCTTTCTCCGTCCTCATGACTTCACCTGAGCAGCCTGTCAATTTATTCTACTTTGATCAGAATGGCTGAATCTTGTGCGAACATTGCCCCCAACACTCTGGAACTGGGAACTGGGGCTCGAGGTAGTGGCATTATTGCGTTTGATGGCGGATCAAATTAGCTAACGGCTGCGGACAGCATCTAAGGAACTTTCGGCCAGGGAAATCAACGAGATACTCAAGCAACCTATGCCAGTCCACGGTGCGTTCTGAGCGACAGTTCGCGATAGGTCCGCTAATGTCAGTACACCTACAGGAGATGGTTATCCGCGAGGTTATCCGCTGCAAGCAGCTTTTCTATCTAGTGAGCCGAGCCTCTCGATCTATCGTGGCTTTGGCTACTTGCACTCTCGCGTCATGCTCGAGCTCCAGGAACAACTACGTGAGCTTGAGGAGGAACTCAAAAATCTCGACGATGACCATGCATTCTCCAATGACTCCATGGAGAAACTGCGTGTCAGATCCCGGATGGCTGATCAACACGCTGCTCGACAAGAGTATCAAGCTCGGCGCAAACGCCCACGAACAGATCAGTCCAATAGGGGAATAGGCAGCGGAGAAAATCACAAAGCAGATGATGAAGAACAAGCACAGCAGGGCAATAATCCCATCCTCAGCGAGCGGACTGTACTCCTAGCCAAGATCGAAGATCGGCTCCTCAGATACGACAAGATTCTCATCAAAGCACGTGAGCTGGCTGAGTTCCAGCGACCCAACGACCGGGACTGGGTAAATGTCCGTGGGTGGTTCTGGAACAACAAGCCCCTTTCCAACGAACAAGAGGAGTTGTTCATTCAGATGAAGGACGACCTCGTCACTCTAAAGCCAAGAGACGATTCTGGGAAGCTTGATACTTGGATCGACTATGCCGTTACAATACTGCCTAAGTGTATGAATAAAGTGGGTGTCTGAATTGCTCACGAATGAGAAAGCATGCTGACTTTTCGAATTAGTTCTTCGTCAATACTTCGCCGAAGGGATTCCAGGATCCGTATTTACGATTCACGCACACTGGTCGGGTCGAGAAGATCGCTATTCTGGTTGTGGTACTCATCATCATTTTCCTGCTGGCCACACCCGTCTTCATCATGTATCGCATAACGTGGGACAGCAGTCGCACCAGCACATTTCTCAACATCGGTCTCTTGATCGTCTTCTCGTTGTTGTTCTCCGCATCGATGGGTCTTATCACGAAAGCGAAGCGTGCCGAACTCTTCGCCGCGACCGCAGCGTACTGTGCTGTTCTTATCGTGTTCATTGGGAACTTCAGTAGCAATGCGACATAAGCGAATTCATAGCTAAGCATGAACAATGCATGAAATTGCGCATGCCAAAAAATTCTTCGTAACCAAGGGACAGCATACTGAATCTGGCACGAGCCTTCCAACATTGCCACAATCACCCCGGATGGCTGTCTAATTCATCTCCAAAATCCGTACAGCAGAAAGCTCACGAGCAGTAGAAAGAAGAGAGCTTTGTTCGGCATCGACCGCGACTTTAACTTCGCTAGTCTTGACCCCCCAATCATGGCGGTGATCTTTACGTCCTTATCGTCGCCAACTTCTTTGTCCGGCCGCAATTGTTGTATGTATTCTACGACTGCTCTAGATCTGTAATGCTTTGCTAGTTGTAATGGAGTACGCTTTTCGTCATCGACAGCATCGAGCTGATATTCGAAGCCTAGGTCCACGAGATGCTCGACCGCTTTGACATTTCCCCACTGGCATGCATGATGGAGCATTGTACGACCTTTGCTATCCACTACATCGGGGTCGAAGTGCCAAGCAAGGTAGAGGTCGATCGTGGATACTCTGCCGCTCTCTGTCGCATAGTGCAGTAGGGTACGGCCATGGTAGTCTGGCATGCACAAAGTAGGGGCTTCTGGACGAGCAAGAAGGAATTCGATGAGATCGGTGTTGCCTCGCTGCGTGGCGTAGTGAAGGATAGATTTTCCCTGTGAGTCTTTGACTGAGAGTTGTCGCATCTCCTCTTTCTGGGAGCATCTTATCAGCTCTTGTACAGTAGATCTGCTACTCCATGCCATGTAGTGGAGCGCTGTTTTTCCTGTGTTGTCCTGCGCCCATGTATCAATATCTTCGGTATGATACTGGAACATATACGCCACGATAGGGTTGTAGAACATGTGTAGAGCTGTGCGGCCCTCGGCATCAGGCTGACTTGGAGTTGCACCGAGTTGAAGAAGCTGTCGCGCGCATGCATAGTCACTTCCTTGTTTCATAGAGATATGCAGGGGCGTTCTGAATGCGTCAGCTATGTCATCGTTCTTCAACAAGTGTGCTACGTACTCGCCGCGGTCATTTGTAACATTGATGTCTGCTCCAGCATCCTTGAGAATGGATAATATTTCGTGTCGACCATAGCGTGCCGCGGACTTTACAGGTAGTCAGAAATCAGACCGATAATGTTGGAGATTGTTACTTGCATGCATAAGAGTGTATCCACCACGCGTCACTGCGCATATGTTCAACGGTTCGATCGTCATAATGCGCTTCAGGTGATCCGTGTCGCCTATCTCGACTGCTTTGAAGGTCGAGTTGTTCGAAGGTACCAAAGATGATAAGCTCATATTAAATCTCGAGCTCAGTCTCCACATTGAAAACTCGTGATACATGATGTGTACGATGAAACTGAACCGCTGGCGTATGAGATGATTGCAATCAAACGTCACCGCTAGGCCCTGTCCTTCGGCGGAGAATATTTCCTCGCGTTGTTGAGACCATCGTCTTGTAATTGTCGGTCCGTATCGGACATTCAACATCATTGCACCTACACCGAGCCCCCACCTGTGATGAGGCATCAGACCAAGCGTCTCGACGCATCTGGGTAGTCTAGCTAGGAGCCGCTGCTCATATGGGGAAATGATTGCACCCGATCTCACGTTATTGGGCTCAACAGCGATCACGGGTATGCGATCCAAGGGGTAGTTGATCTGTGGTGCGATCTTGTCGCGATTGTGCACTAGGGAGCAAAGTCGCATTTGGTCCGTCGCAGATAATTGACTTGAGATGTGCATCAACATAGATCTGATATCATCGTCAGTAAAAGTAGCTAACACACTCAGACTTCGGCTCACATTTGGGCCGCACTTATCGCATGAGATAAGATGGTGTTGTAGTGCTCCAGGTTATCGAAAAATCGTCTTAGATGACGATCATGGAGCAGCCACTTGCAAATTTCTCTGACACGAGCTGTCTTCCCCCGACTTAGGGAGTTTTTCCTTACTTCGATATCCACGTTGATGATGTTGATCTCCTGGACAAACTCCTGCATACACTCGAAATTTGGAGCCAGCAGTAACTCTTTCGGGAGCGTATCGCAAATCTTTAGGAGGCAAGTAATATTTTCCAGTAGACGTTGAAGCTTTCTGTTCTGCCATTTTATCTCCTCGGGGGCGTCTTTGAAATCGATAACGAGGCCGTAGAGAATCTTGCAGGTACCTCCAGCGGCACCCAGTACGGTCAGAACGCTCGCTGCCGATGAAAGCGGATCCATGTGAGCTGCGTAGAGGTTTCTGCTGCATGCGAGTATAACACGTACAAATTGTCACCGTTTTGACAGATCTGGGTATCGAGAGCATGTTTTGGGGTGCGAGGCTCGGGGCCTGAAGGGTATCGTCATGCATCTCAGCCTCCAGTAACACGTGAGCAGCGGGGGTGGCACAACAACGTGATCGGCCGCGCAGTCTGCCACGGCAACTCATTGCCTTGTTTTCAGGTGCCTACCGGAAGCCATCCTCGTTAAGGCTGCCAAGGACTGAGGCGAGCAGAAGCGGATTCAGAGATTCGAGGTAAGGCTGAATGAGAGAGGCAGAGCCAGGCTGAAGAACGCCTTGAGCACATTATATCAACAGCCGTGATCCATCTTCGATTAGTCCAATACAACTTACCTCGATCAACTTTTGCGATTTCAAGTCGGTGCCTTTGCTACAGGGTTGTATTAACAATCGCAAATAACTCCGTCCATCCATCCAGCTCCTGAAATCTGTCTATACAAGTATCGCAGTGATATCAAGGCGTTGCGACGATGGCGAAAGAGAACACTCCATCCAACTCCCGTGTTCAGAGCGGATTCGAGGTTAAGAACGAAGTATGGTGTTGGCTAGAAGGTGTGTAGTCGTTTGGCGTCTCTGTTGAAGAATAAAGCTAACTACGCCAGGCTACTGGCAAGAAGGGATTGTTACGAAGGTTGATGGGACAACTGAAAATGGAAAGAGGTATGAAGTCGAGCGCAACGCGGCGGAAGGCTGGCCAGAGACGTTTGGAATTGAGAACTTGTTGTTACGCACCTGAAAGCCCTCAATCTGGGGCATGCTGTGTGAGCAATTGGATAAACTCGCACAATGCGACCATGTACTGCTCGATTTTAGCGTACACTGATCTACACACGTACATGCGTCCAATATAATTATGAACAGCTACCAGTAAGAGGTTTTGTCGTGCTCTAGGCCATATGTCCTGTTTCTAACCGGCTCTTCCTTTTTGCATGCCAAAACATGGGCGAATCAAATGGGTGGCAGGCACGCAGCAGGGAAAGTGACGTCTACCGCAAAGCACTGGAGCTTCCGAGGGACAAAATCCAACCTGTAGTCACAAAGAATTAAGTACATCCATAGTCTTGTAGCGCTTTGTGCGCGCTGTTAGTGGGCGGTGTTCGCAGTCGGCGTTATTTTGCCAGGCGCGGGTCCAGGGAAGGGCCGACGCGGCGCACCTAACAGGCCCAGGTGGATCCATCACCCCGCGCGTCATATCGCGCCAGCACAAAGCTCAGGCACAACTTCGTCTCCACACAAGTCCATCCCTCCTTCCCACCCTCCGCAGGAACACCACCACTCACTGCGTCTTCTCGAAGGCGAGCATGCGATCGGGCAAGCTCTAACAAGCTCTGTATTAGGGATGCCAGGCTTTTAGTCGCTCAATGAACCTCCAGATCCGCTGGCCGCCGTCGTTGCCTTTAGCTACCAGACCGTCACCGCCAGCGCGCTTTTCACAGTCTTCACCCACCACTTGCGCGAATCAGCTTCAAACCTCCTCAAAATGGCGCCGCCGAGCATGCCGGGTCAGCGCAACGAGTTTTCCTTAAGACGAGCTGCCACCCACCCACCTATGGCAGCGCACCATCCGCGTTGTCCCCGATCGGGAGCAGGCCTGAACCTGATCCTCCCCCAGGAGCTGTGCAAGAGGTTGCTCTTTATCGTGCACCACTTGGAGGCCACTGCCAGACATGAACAGCTTTTCAAAGCCTTGTAAGTGTTACATCCAGTCTGGCAGTCGCGCATGCATGTGTTGATGATAGCCATACAGGTTTGAGGTGGAACTATCCCACCTATTTCGTCGTCAACGATTTATGACCTCCCCCACCAAGCAACGTCCTCGACCCACCAACCTTCGCATCAATCCGGCTGTCACCGCTACCGGCTCCGGCGCTGCATTTCCACCTTTCGCTCCGAGCATCCCATCCGAATGCAACCGCTCCCGACACTTCGAGCCATACTCTCCGACGCTCTCGACCTCGAGTCTCGTCTCAGCCCACGACGATATACACAACTTTTATTGATACCCCCAAGCCTTGGGCGTTCTTCGGCGTACTACGGATGACCTTTGAACAAAGAGAAGCGCTTGGTTTAGGTTATGGTTTGGGAACGCGCGAAACAAAGATGGCGTGCAACATAAAAGCATACATCGGCGCTTCAATACTGGGCATATGTTAGGAAGGCGCATGGCGTATTTGGGGCGCTTCGAGCGCCTCTGGCAAATGTTGTCCATTGTGTTTGTGTTGGCATCTGTCTTACACATATTTAACTTTTTGTGTACATATTTGAATAGTATAATAGCAGCCCATGCTATGCAGGCGCAAACTTCTACCGTTTTATTGTACTCTGCACTTAGTCACTTTGTTGTCACAGCATCGTCGCATGCGCACGCGAAGGCGATTGGCATCGGCACAGTGTCTTAGCAAGTCGGCTTTGTGACACGGAATTAAGACTACACTCTCAATATCCAGGCCACGATCACACAGCACATGACAGTAAAGCAATAACCCCAATATGCTCTTATCACTTTCTCCAGCCATCTGGTCCATTGTGAGCGCCTCTCGGAGCGAGGTAGGTTGCCAAATGCTCTTTCGAGCTCGCGAGCCTCTTGTCTTTTCCCTGTTGCGTTGCATGCCTCGACTGAAAGCGCCGCGCAATGAAGCGTCAGATCATGCTTGTCGCCCAGAGCAGCCTGGATCTCACTTCTCAGCTGATTCAAAGATTCCTTGGCCATGTCAAGATCCCCTGGGCCCCTTCGCTTGAGCCTGATCTCATCGAGTCTACACTTGAAGTCCCAAGTTCGTTGTTTGTACGCATGTTCGCCCTCTTGAGAAAATATCTCCAGAGCTCTTTGGAAGAAATCTGCCGCATCGTTCAAGTCCTCCGTGTTGCCAATTCTCACCAAAATCTTTGCTTTGTCCTCATTGATCTCAAACATCATCGTGTCGTCCGTGGAAAACCATTGTTGCAGCGCTTTCTGTGAGTCGACACAGGCATAGTATGCTGCATTCCATTGCTTCATCGCCATAGTCTTCTTGCCGTTGGATTTAAGCTTCTCTCCGTGAGCGAAGGCGAGTAAGCTTTCCTCGCGCTTCACTTGGATCGCAAGTTTCTGCATCTCTTGTTTGTCGTTCGATTCGTATACAGCATCTTCATGATGCTGTAGCACTGCTTCGTTACCCTCAAGCTTGACCGCGATCTCCGAAAGTTTTCCGAATGCAGCCCGGGCCTTGTCGAACTCTCCGCTTTTCCACAAAACACGTACCATTTGACGCTGCAAATCCCACGCACGTAGCGTTCGTCCTTTCCAGATCACGGTATCATCGCTACTTGCGGTCTCTCGCTGCGAATTTTCGATCAGCTTCCTTGCTCGTTCGAGGTAGTCGGGCGACTTTCTATCTTTCGGTCGAGAAAGGTAGGCCTTCGCTAGAAGGTCGACAAGCTGAAAGTATGCATTACGGCGGCGCCGTCGCGTTTTCCCCTTAGCTTTCTCGATTTCTCTCTCCATCTCATCTTCTGCTTTGTTCTTGTTGCTACCTTTTTCTTTCGTGTCTTCTTCCCCTTCTGTCCGTGAACGCTCCTCTAGTCCGAAGTGTCTCTTCGTGAACTCGAGAACTTTGATAGCATCTTCAAACTGGCCTCTGTGCACGAGCACGTCTGAAAATAGAACAACGGCTTGAACGGCTCGATCATACAGCGAGAAAGAAATCTGCTCTGCATTGTCTCCAGCAAACTTGACAAATCTGTTGAAATGGGGCATAAGAGCCGCTTTGAAACTGGCGAAAGACTTTTGACCCCTGGAAGGGGTTTTATTTCTCTTGTTCAGCTCTGCCTTCTTCCTGGAATCGTAGCTTCTGAACAGCATGGATAAGACCTTGTTGTAACGTTGGAGCTTGCTCCGCGGAGTGTCGTTCTTTACCATCCATGCCCGCACCGCCAGATTTACTGTCGTGTCGACCAAATATACCGGATGCGCACGATCAGTGTCTTGTTTGCGAATGAAGCAGCAAGCAAGCAACTTCTCCAGCCACTCGTTCAATTGCCCGCGTTGTTGCATACTGTATTCCACCCGAATGAGCTTTAAATCGAGACCTGTCTTATCGTCGAACAGGCAAAGAAGCACCAGGAGACTAAGCTCATCAGACCACTCATTCTCGTTCCGCAGAGAGTGTCCCAGGGTAGGTATTAGGAGTTGCTCGGCAAAGTTTGGTAGAAGATATTCCGTTTGCTCGTATTTTCTTTCCTGGAGAAGCTTGTACATCTGTCGATAGTTGTTCTGCGTGTCGTTCATGTACCTGGAAATTCGTTGTATCATCTCAGGCCAGTTAAACTCCTCCGAAAGCCGCGTAGCATGTGTGCCGCCCGTGTCGATGACGGAATCATCGACGTAAGTGGAAAACAGTGCCATAGCACTTGCACTGCCAGGACACTGCATCTCAATGCATCCTCTGCGCTTCTTCCAGTCTACGAGATCTTTGACCTGGAGAAGGTTTTTTGTGGTGTACAAGATCTTGCCGTTTCTACTAGGTAGCGAGTGCCTGATGACATTAGTTTCCCGATCATGATCAAATCCGTCAACAACCATGAACCAATCTCTCTGTGACTTCTCGAGATGAGACTTCACAAACTGTCGCAGCTTTTCCTTTGAACCAAAGCCTGGATCCTCGATCTTGAACCCGGCTGCAATTGCTTCGTACGAGTCATCAAAATCCTTGAGGTCATTCGCGCGCACCCAGAACACATCTTTGGCTGGAGGGGGTCTTAGTCCTTCCGAACCAGTAGCATAATGAAGAGCGGCCAGTGATTTTCTATCCATGATCAGCTGAGTAACTAAGAGTCAGCGAACGGTAGTTTGCTGTACTCACCCAACACCTCGCAGTCCAACAAGTGCCACGGAACTCTTCTCTTCGAATCGCTTAGATATAGTATCGATGACAGCTTTCATATCAGAGGTGAGAACTCCATGCTCAAGTGTAGGGAGAGTCGACACTGAGCGCTTAGCTGCATGGAGACTCATTTCCGCCTTGCTCGTCAAGTCATCGTACCATCCATTCTTCAGTAGTACTTGCTCGTAACTATGACCCTTCTTCGAATCTTTCCTTGCTCGAGTCATCGGATTGTGCTTCAGCTCTAGATCTGCAGGTCTCGCTACCTGGATTACGTCTTCAAGGTGCTTCACAATCTCTTCACGGCTAATCAGAGGATTTGTGAATATTGAGATGTCGACAGCGACTTCCCATGAGAAGATCCGAGCTTCGCGTGGTTGTAACATGTCCTGGATGAGATCAAGAAGATCTCTTAGTTTGTCGTTTTGCCCCTTAAGCTTGGCTATCCATTGTTTGATCTGGTCCGGGCACTTGGAGAAGGCATGTTCCATTTTTTCCTTGCCACCTCGAGCACGTAATTTCTCGAAGGCTTCCAATCCCTCTGAACTCCTCCCATGTACTAACATGGTGGCCAAGAGAACGAATATGCACCCCATCGACCAAACATCGTGAGATCGACCGTGATTCGTGTCTTCTGATGTGTCAGTCACAAATTCCTTCGGTGCCCAATAAGGGTCAGTAGCAACATTCCGAGTCGCTGTGTCGTCCACAGGCTTCAGATTTGAGGTTCCAAAATCACAGATCTTCCAGGCCAGCATTCTTTGCGACCCAAACCTCAGGATATTCTTCGGTTTGATGTCCCCATGGTATCCGGCCTCATAGCCAATCTTTCGATGGATGTAAGCCAGTCCAGATATCAGCCCTCTCATTGAATCTTGTACCTCGGCCTTGAACTCTTGGGATCTCCACGTCTCGTACAGCTCCATGTCATCCGGTTTTTGATCTAACCAAATTTGCATGTCCATTTCTGCCAAAGGGGACACCAAAAACAGGCATTTTGTCTCTTGTCCTCCGATTGTGGGCATCTCTAGGCCAGCGGTAAAGCTAGCGATTAATGACGATAGGTTGGGATGCTTGCGAGATCTCAAGAACCTCACTTCTTTCATCACTCTTTCCACATCGTCTGCATTTTGAGTGTTGGGGAGAATCTTCTTGTACGCGACCATGTCGTTCTAATTGAGTTAGTAATGGCATGATTACGATATTGGTTCCCAACCGGCGATGCTTACCTCATCATGGCCATCCAAGTCCTTGAGGTAACCTTTCTCAAAGATCACCTTACGCACCTGTCCAAATCCACCAGAGCCAATGCGTTCGGGTTTATTCTTGAACGGAAATTTGAAGAACTTTGGGTCGAATTCAAAGTGAACGGCCGGCGAAAGCACTGTAGGAAACACCCAGTGCATCTCGTAGACCTCTTGTGCCACGTCGCGTAATTCAGGAATACCCAGTAACCTCTCTAGTACAAAGCGAGAGTTACTAGCGTCGTCATGAGAAATGTCGAAGAGCGCATGGTCATCCAATATGGGTTGGCTATTCTGCAGGCTGACTATCCGACCACCCTTGTTGATCAGGACGAGAATCGCGAAAATCTTTCTTGCCCGTCTTTCGATGAAAACTACAAGCTCCGAGAAATCCTGGAGGGAAGCCTTTGGTAAATCAAGCTGCAACTGGCGCCGGAGCTTTTCGCGCGTGAACAGCTCTTTCACGAATCGATCGGAAATGTAGCCTCCATTTGGGAGTTGATTCCGTTTCTTCATTTCCTCCCTTTGGTCATTCAAAGCTTGCCTAAGACCACTAGTGAGCCCTGTATCATCCATGGGGATGCTACGTCATGAAACTCCACTATCACCAACGAAGGAAGTTGGGTGCGAGTCAACCACAACAACAGCCGCGCAGGCCCTGTATTAGCGTCTGTTGACGAATTTGGCCGAGTATGCTTCGTGATCAGGTTGCTGGGATAAACGAAGAGAAAGTAGTCGAGCGACGCTCTTGATGGGGTACACAAGGCTGAAGAGGGCACAAGAACTCTGTAAAACTTACTGACGGAAGGAGACACCCCATTTAAACACTTCACGCGCCTTATTGAGAACAAAAGAGCCCCACGAATGCGAAATCGAAAGCCACCCCGTAGGCGAACAGTTCCCGAGGAGCTTTCGGTATGTACGATTGGCGGCTTGTCCAGCGGGTGGTGAGACTATCGATTCCAGCCTCGTGAGGTCTGTCGATGTCCGTACACTCCTGTTCTTTCTGTCTATCTCCGATACGAAGCGAAGTCGCTAAGAACAGTGTTTGCACGGATATTGGCTTTTTGAAACTGCGTGAGTCGGTTGTCTGTGTCTACGTCTGTGGAAACACAGCCGCAAGAATGAGGAAGTTCGAAGGCAGACGTGGGTGAAACGCATGTACGCGCCCTGTCATCAGGAGTTATGACGGCAATATGCGGGACAAAGGACTTCCTTCCAACGCGTATGCAGGTGAGCTGTCAGCCTCGCTCAACCTATCAGCTGCAGGAAGAACCTTGGAAGCCACAGCTCCACGGGTGCCGTAACGAAGGTGGGTGTTGGCGCTTGCGAATGATTGGCCAGCCTCAAAGCCATGAGCGAAAAGTAGGCAGAGGGCGTTGTGCTGACCTTGGGTCGTATTCGAGCTTCGTGTGAGTCTTACGCAAAAAGATGGCGGTCTTCAACCTGAATCTCCCCAATTTCTCAGCCTTGCGCAGTGGTACAACCCTAGTCTGGCTGGACCGGGCACGCGCTTGACATCTTCTGGGCGCAACCTCATGCCCCAAGAAAGTCAAAATTGTCAATATCCGCATAGAATCAGGCGTAAAATGTCACGGCCATCGGCCTGATCTCAAGCCTTTGTTTTAGCCACAGGGCTTCAACTTGGCGGCTGCCTGGACGGCAGCAATTTGATGATATATCACGCAAATGAAGGACCAACTGCTGCGTTATGTACTGCGACTCTCAAAGAGGCATCTGACAGCAACATCCAGATACAGGCCATTGATCGCAGCGCGTGTTTTACTATTCGACTGTAAAATTGGCTATCTTAGCTATTATGGATGACCCTGTGGTGTTATGTTTGACGTGACGGAGGCGTGGAGAAGCAGCCATTGATGCGATCTGATGCGAAGGATCGCGGAAGAGGGGCCGACAGATTTGACATCAAGTACAAATGTGGGGGCAGGTCGAATCGGTCAAGCCGACGGCACAAAGTTTGTGTTCAGATGCTTGCCGGCATACATGTTCATGACATCAGCGCAGCCTTTGTGGCTTCAAGCGAGCTAGTTCGGCTATCCGCTTTCGTGCGTAGTATGTGTTCGTCGAAGATCGTGCAGGAGTATGTATCGTGAGGAGGTATCGAGGTTGCCTTGCTAATCGCCTTCCGTAACGCCGTATCCAATGGTGTGATGTATGCACATAGCATTTTATACAAGTGTGCCGTCTGGCTCGCCCGGTAGCCGCTTGACACGCCTCTGCTCCCAGTCATCGATGTCTTTCGCCTGTAATCTCTGCGCAACTGTCAGCCTATGCCCCTCCAACTGCCTTGTGTTTCCGTATGCATACGTAGTACTCGTCCTTCATGTTCACCTTCCTCCGCTCTCCTCTCAGGCCCATAGCCTGTTCATGTGTGATTTGCTGGTTCTTGCGATCGTATCGCTCGTATCGCAGCGCCGTGGCGGGAGTCAACATGAACGACCCGAGAAGTATCGTAGACAGGAACGGTAGGCCGAAGAGTAGGAAGGGGTGCTTTTGGAGCGACTTTCGGTATTTCGCGGCGAGCGAGTTGGGCAGTGTGGCGCTGAAGGATTTCGAGGTGAAGGGGCCAGGCATGGCTGCGGTTTAGGGCGTGCTCGACCCAAAATTATGCAATATGGGTATTGGTATGCGTGTTTGACGAATATACCGTTCGAGGTTGCGGGCGCAGTGCTTTAGGTGAGGATGGTTCGATGCTTCTTCCATGTCGAATTGCGGAGTACCTAGCGCTCTTTCCCGATATCGGGCTTAGCGCGGTCTCGTGACTACGTGATTTCGCGTCCACGTAAACCCATGCATCTTCTTAGCAAACCCCACACACTCGTCAAACCACCGATCATATCGCAAACTGCGCGATTGCAGACGGAGCCACGTATTAATAACGCGAGACGCCACTCTTTGAAGGTCCACGAGCGCCACACCGGAAATTGCAGACAGAAACCCCACCAGCGTCCAATCAGGCGAATCCACCGTCAATCCATCTTGAATCAGTCAAGACTGCTACGAACGCTCGCTTGAGTCTAAAGACCCAGCATCATCGCCAGCAGCCACTTACCAAGATTCCACTCTTTCCTTCCCTATCCGACATGCCACATCGGTAACGTGCATCATGGCCCGCAAAGGCGGGAGCTCGACTCAGCGGATGGCACCGCCACCTGTGACTAACGGCAACTCGAATGGCGTGCCCCCACCGTCGACCATTGCGGCCCAAATCGTCAATAACGCGTCAAATGTTCATGCGTGGCAGGGCGAGGCAACCAAAGTCAGCTTTGGTGAGCTGGTCAAAGAGTTTCTTCAACACCCAAACACGGATGAGCCCGATGCACAGCTCGTAGCGCTCATAAGTGTCATCGCCGAAGCAGGACTTGAAGGCTTGTTCAAAGATGATCCGTTCGCCCAGGACCAGCAGAGACAGCAGGGTATTGACAGTATTGCCGCGCTAACTTTCATCTTGCAACAAAAGCCACATCTGCTGCTGAGCGTTAGAGAGACCGAAGATGACAGCATTTCCCGTCCTCCGCTTATTCTCTGGTTGGTTCCTAAGTTGTTGGGCCTGTTAGCACATGAAGGACTCACCTATGTGCACGAACATGTACACCAAATACTGCATCTCTGCCTAAGCGCGCTCGCACGAACATCTGCGCTCTGGCGTCCCGCTGCAGCAATCTCACAGCTTTACAGATCATGTGCGCAAAGTAAGTACTACCCTGAGTTCCCTTATGCGAATACTCACGTCTATCTAGCTATCTTGACAGAGCTGCGGTCCATGGATGATCCAGCTTCGGCAGCTGTACTGTCTTTCAACCTACTCCTACCATCGTCAAGCAGCATCAGCGACTTTTGGCCAGACAGCCAACAAATCATTGCTTTGCCCCATGATCTGCAGCGAGCAGTTACTTCGCGACTCGGAGCTATCCATGCCGGTTTTTGTCTTCTCACCACCTTGGCATGTGTTGCTCCGCCCCAGGGCAGAGCGTCGGCGACGTCTAGTTCCCTGGATCACCATGTACCATGGATCATCGACAGTGCTCAAGATTTGTGGAAGCATTTTCGGCGTTGGACGGCAACTTCGGAGAGAGGCATCCTCGTCAATGAAATCACGCTCGCATATTTGCAGCTACTCGAAACTCTGTTCCTTCCTGCAGGCACCCCCGGAGACCGTTCATTGGAATCACTGAAGAATGCACAGTCGCTTATCAATAGTCTCAGCGATCTCATTGATGGTTTATCGACAGCGCCAGAGTTAGCGTCAGAAGTCATTCAAGTGCGACTGGCTATCATCCTTACCCGGTTACGCAGTGTCCTTACTTCGCCAATAACGGACGACTCAGCCACACGACGTCGAAAGCACATGAGCAGATCGGTCGTTCTGAACGACGTTGAGGCTATCGTAGCTAGAGCCTGTCAGGATGTTGAACACTTCTCTCAGCTTCACAAAGACTTGCAGGTATGAGTGAAATACCGCAGTTTTTGTCCATGCTGATCGAATCTAGCTCTCCCTTTGCCTCTGGACGGCACCAGGTATATGGCCTATACACATTGCGGACATACGAAGAGAGCTCTGCGAGGGCGATACTGGCAGTTTCTCGGATGCTCAACTTTCCGAACACTCGACACCAATCCTGAAAAGTTTCCGGATGTTGAACTTGGGCAATGAGGAAAGGCCTGCGAAGCGGCGAAAGAAGCTCCTGGATACTCCAGACATCAATCATACCACCTATGAACGACTCGTAATGATACTCAATGGCAGTACCCATGACTCCCCGGTTCTCAATCTAACCAATCTCCACAATATCATCGAGTAAGTTGTCTAAGTTGACCTAAATGTACACTGCTGACAGCTGCAGGGCAAGATACTCTTCTATGATGGACAACGACCAACAAAATGAACGTGTACAAGTGGACCTCATGACAGCGTTTGCGAAGATTGCATGCGCCGGTTCCCGGTGTCTTGAACTATCTCAGTCTACGTCGCAACCAGTGCATTCGCTTAGCTGCGTGTTATGCGATACGAATTCTCGCCACGAACGAAGCGCCATGACATACTGGAACAGACAGGACGATGGAGAGAGCTGGAAGGAAGTCATTGCCGCCATGCTTACCATAACCAAAGAGCCAGCATTTGAGGAGTCGCAGCAAGCTCGAATACTAATGGCTGTCGCTATTGGCCGTGTCTATAACCACATCTCTGACTCTGAGTATTTGTCTCTCGAGATCTGTGAGCTAGGGCAGTGGCTGCTTGCGTCTATGAGCAGATCTCTGAGAGAACTGAAGCTTGCCGCAACAAGCTCATTGATGGTATTCCTGCGGAACGATATATCCAAAAATACTCGCAGTAAGAATCGGCGGTCATTCATTGAGTTCCTGGACGCTTTAGCGCAGCGCGACGTTCTGTCCGACCAGGAGACGCTTATCATCGCGTATGGTCGAACTGCGTTGACGTGTGGAGAGCTCGAGCTACCCATCATATTACATCACTTGGTCGAATACTTTGGTCATTCTAACGCACTGGTATGCGGTATGGCCTACCGCGAACTTGAAACCATCGCCAAAGGCTTGTCCATGTCCACGATGCAGCTCTTAAGTCCTTACTGGAAGGTCATCGGGTTCTCAGTGATCAAAGACTACATCAAGAAGCCTCAGAAAGCGCAGCAATTGGCAGACCTGATCGAGCAAAGCGTTCGCCAGTTGTTGGTACTGACGCAAGCGGATACCCTTCCGCATCTCGTTCTGAGCAAAAGAAGAGATATCATCGAAAAGATCGCCCAAGCACGGAAGGCTTCTATCATCGACGTCTTGACGTATCCAAGAGGTAATCTGTCCAAGATACTGGCTCTACTGCTATCACAGCCCGTTGCCGACGTTGAAAAGACAGCAATGGAAACGCTAGCAGCTATTGAGCCTGCTATCCGAGAGAGCAGCAACAACAGGCTTGATTCGTGGGTTGCCCTAGACATCACTGGTGTTGCTATCGAGATACTCAGGCTGGCTGCAGACCAAGAGGGAGTCGGTAAGAAGCCATACTACAGCGCTTTCAGCACGCTGGCGTCGCTCGCACCAGATACAAAATCAGGACAGCGCAAATCGACGTCAAAGTCCAAGAACCTAGATGCCTTCTGCGAGACGCATATTCTGGGCATCATCGCATATCTTTCGAACGTCATCGCGGCTCCTAGCGCGCAGGGTAAAGCCGCACAGTATACGATGCCCGAGAGAAAAAATTGCATAGCTGCTATTGGCGACCTCATCGCCCTTGCACGCTTCAGCGTAAACGGCGCGTTACCGCAGATCCGCGCCTGTCTCCAATCAGCCATCGGAGATCCAGACCTATGCGACGACACATTCACCGTTTGGACTGCGTTTTTGGCAGCTCTTGATGGAGATGAAACAATGCTGGTCGTGGATCAAACCTTTGCACTGATTGTACAACACTGGTCGTTGTTCTCTTCAGACACGCAGCTCAAAGCCCATAAAGCTGTCGGAAGTATCATAAGCCAGTACAACCCCCAGCTTCGAGCTAGAGTCGAATATCTTCCCTCACTGGCCGGCATACCAATGCTCTCCAAGATTGAAGGCGAGTTGGCAAAGTTCAGAGATATGATTGAGACCATCAAGGTCTTCCAAGCCTTTAGCAATAGATGCAAAGACCAGACATCAGTCGTGGTGCGTCAGGCTCTGATAGAGCTTGTGCCTTTTCTGGATGCCAATCAGCAGGAATTGCATCAGTCGATAGTTGGCCAAAAGCCTCTTCCGGTTTTGGCCGCATTGACGCGATCGCTCCTCGATGCCAGCGTTCGTTTCTCGGAAGACCACTCCGATATCACGATTCTTTGTGCTCAGTGCCTTGGTATCATCGGTGGTCTTGATCCATACCGTGTGGAAACAGTCCGTGAAAAGAAGCGCGTCTTGATGCTTTCGAACTTCGCACGGAGAGATGAGGACATTGATTTCGTGGCATTGCTTCTCGAACAAGTCCTGGTCAAGGTCTTCCTTTCTACCACAAATGCTAAACAACAAGGCTGGATCGCCTATGTTATGCAGGAGATGCTCAAGCATTGTGGGTTTAGTGCACTCCGTGGAGCAAAGCCCCGATCTTCGCAGGCTAGTACAGAGGCGCAGCGCTGGAATGAGATCCCAGAGGCTGTCAGAACTGTATTAACTCCCTTCCTTGATTCGAAATACTCCGTCAATGTGAACACCTCGATACAATACGAGGGTGCGACATACCCGATATTCAACTCAAAGATCAGCCATGGCACCTGGCTCCAGACCTTTGTTCATGACCTGCTGCGAAAGGGACAGGGTGTGAACGTTGGGATGGTATTCCCTGTTCTAGCCAGAATCATCAAAGGATACGATCTCTCGATAGCTACCTTCATACTTCCATTTGCAGCTCTGAATGTCATCGTATCAGATAATGATGAGAACATGGAGAACGTAGGACGAGAGCTCCTGCAGGTGCTGCAGGCCGATATACATACCTCGGAGCAGCACGAAGCTTCGATCATTAAGCAGTGTAGCGAGGTAAGGTCTTACAACTACTCCATCGAATGCATTTGCTAACACCTCGCAGAACG